CAGCTTGCAGTTGGACATGCTTAAGTTTCTCATTGTGTTCAGCTAGAAGATCTAGTTGTTTCTTGTTGTGCTCCTGCTGTATTTGACTAACCTGCATGTGGAGCAGGAAACTATTTCATCAGGATGCTCCATTTTTCAACTTAATTTTGAATACACTTGCCAAGGAAGATTACTGATGCGATGATAATCTTACAAGAGGTGAATAGCCGCCAAAGAATTAGTGTGATGCCAAAATAATGCGAGCATAAATAAGTAAACTACCATGTTCTGAATGAATCATCGCAGGAGATTAATGGCTTGCACAGATTTAGAATATAAGTGGCTGATTAATTACTTATCCCAAAGAAAATGAATTTGTAAAAGCAGCACGGATTATGAAATTGTAACGGTGCCTGAAACAGTTGAAGAAAAATCAGACCATATACAATCCCATTGAATGCAAGGCCCGATGCCATACTACCACTTTGATGATAATAATGGTCGACAGCTAAAATTACTCTCCATTCTTTTTACATTATTTTATGCATACCAGTGCAGCATGTTCCTCCTGAATGCGCACCAACTGTTGCCTTGATTCTTCTTTGCAATCCGCAAGTTTTTTGTCGCATCTTCCCTCTATTTCTGCAATCGCCTTATCAGCCTGAAGATTCAAATGATGAAGAACGTTTCGAGTGGATAAATGTGGCATCATCATAAATATGTTGCATCTAACCTTTTCTTTTTCCATGTTGACAATTTCCATCTTCTCCAACTCATACCTCCTCTTAATGTCATTAATAGCCTGCTAAGTGCTGTGATTGTTAGAAAACAGCTGAAGCGCAATTCATAATATATAAAGGATTTATGGAAGGTAACTGATTATCAATCACACCTGATCATTTCTCTGAGAAATTTCTTTCAAATGCCTTGATAATTCTGACTGCTTGCTCTCTACCATTAGATCATATTGCTTCTTAGCTTCTATAAGTTTACTTTCAATAGCAGCCAATGATGACTGATTCTGCAGTGACCAACAGAAAGTCAGAAACTAAAGTCCAGAAAAACCTGTAGGAACAAAAGAAATGGGTACTAGATGTTTGTTCCAAGACCTCAGAGATCTGATCTTCCAGCTTCTTTTCTTGCTCCTTGTACTGCAAAATGAGCTGTTCTTTGTCCTCTAAGACATTATTAACTTGGCCTACTTGTTTCTCCAGAAAATCTGCATGCTGCTCAAGTTTTACAACTTCCTTTTTCAAACTGTCTATTTCCTCTGATTTCCTCAATATTTCTTCCTGCAAACTCTCTGAATTTTCTTTGCTTTCATTTTCCAATGCTGAAAGCTTCAGCAATAAACCTTGCTGCATGGTATTAGATTCTTGGATAAGGAACGTGACATGGTATGATAAAAGACAATAATTAAGGAAGATTTTTTTCTTGCCACTAATTAAGGAAGATTAAGCAGACATGCCATCTGGGTCTCTAATGATCTAGACTATCTGAGAAAAATTCAACTCTCTCCTCTAATTTGGAAATCGATAGCTCAGCTTCTTCCTTCTTTAAGATTAAAGTTTGAGCTTCTGACTCCAGACACTGGATTCTTTCAGCATCTAATCGGCAGATATCTGCATGCCGGGTTGCCGTTGCTTCCAGAACTTCCCGAAGTTCAGTCACTTTATTGTTTAATTCATGATTTATCAACTGAATTGCATCTTTTTCTGATCTCAAGCTCAAGAATTTATTATGAAGCTCATCATATTGAGCTTGAGCATGCTTAGATAAGGCATCTCGTTCCTGCAGGACCAAATGGAAGCAAGAATCATAGAGACAACTTAGTTCATTAAACTTGCTCAAAACGTTCAAGCTTTCTTTGTCTAATCCAACCACATTTCCAGCCAGGGCTTGAACCAGTTCATCTAGGTTTTTGAATTCCTGAAGTGACAAGTCGAGTTTTTCAGTAATCTCAGCATTACACAATTGAAGATCGCCCGTTTCTTTTTTCAGTTTTTCCTCAGCGGTTATGTGATGAGTAATTTCATCTTCTTTGACTTCTAACTGAAGTTGCACCTCTCCCAACTTTGAATTCAAACTCTCTGAAGCCATTTTGCTAGCTGCTAAAGTTTCATCTAAATTCTTGATCATATTATCTGCATGCAAATTCATGTTTCACACAAAAATCATAATGAGTTGCAAGTTACTCCATCCATTTACCACATCAGAGGGTAGATGTCAAAACTGATACATGACATATAATATTAAAAATATATGAACCTTCCAATCTTAATACACGACATGAACAAACAAAATAACGTTACTTGATAACTACATTGCAGAAACCTTGGTAGTGTTCTTCAGAACTAAAGATGTGAAGATAAAGGCAAAAAATGCACTCTATAACCTACATAATCTCAAACTACTGAATCATATCATTCTCTCGAACATGCCTTGGAATAGGCCACTCAAGACAAGTCAGCAGAATTATTACCAATTGTCATTTGCCAACTTAATTTGTCAAGTTTACAATATCGAAAAGCTAAATCACCTTTCTCCTTTAAGAGATTTGCAGACCTAGTCTGATCATCTCTATGAACCTTGTCCTTTTCTACTGACTCGAATTTGAGCTCTTCTATCTCCTTGTTACCTATAATAAAGATCCAAAACAAATACATATAATATTGATGTTCAGTTCAATACTCAGAGCTCTCCAGTAAACTTAATGCGGTAATAACAACCCTACACTTACGTAGATATAACAAATTAATCATCTTTATTTCAAAGTAACTGATTAAAAATTAAAAAATAAAACAAAATGTCAACAACGAGGAACTTACGAGTTCTAATTGTTTCCTCCGCAGAATCTAGCTTCAGAGATAGATCATCCATATGCTTATTTAAACTATCAAGAGCTTCTGAACTTGCAGAAAGTTTAACTTCCAATATCTCCTTATCTTTCTCAGCTATAACAGCATTACAGAAAGAATAGACTGGTCACTGATTCAAAGTCCATGATTGATAACTATGGCTTTAAAATAAAGCCATCAAATGCAAGTAAAATGGAAAAAGCGAGAAAAAGTCTTACCAGCCTGAACTAGACCTGAGAGCTGCTGCATTGTCTCGGTAAGTTGATCACACAGTGTCTTCGTTGACGAGAACTTAGACTCCAATCCTTTCCACAGTTTTTCATCTTCTTTCTGCTTGACCTTGAGTTTGGCATTTTCGTTAAAAGCATGCCGAAGTTTTTCTTCTAAAGCATGAACATGCTCCAATGACTTCTTTAGTTTAGTATTCTGCACAGCAGCAGTGAGAAGGAACATTTCTCTGAGTAGTGAAAGGAAGCCACAAAAACCAGAAATCGTGACGTGCGTGCGTTTTGCGCAATGGATTACGCACAAAGAATATTATATTATACCGCAATTTCCAGATCAGTCTTCACTGAAGCTTGCTCTTTCACCAGTTTCTCTGCTCAAGAGGAAATAGTTGAAACAAGACCAAATTGAAATCGAAACTCGAGATAAAATCTTCATCCACAAGAAAGACCGAGAAAATCAGGATTCAGGATAATATAGCTAAATTTCGATCAAGACCTGCAGTGAGCTTCAGATTCGCAAAACTTCCCAATGAGATGGAATCCGTGGAAGGACGCGAAGAGAACGACGAAGCCTTGGCAGTTCCCGATGCAGGACCATACAGCGATTTGAATTTGTCGAGACTCTTCGAGCTCGTTAGTCCTAGCTTCTGCATTTTTAATATCGGTACCAAACCCGAAACGAAACCTTAGCCTCACTCTTCCCCGACCGTTCCTGTCTCGCTCAGCAAATGCCCGGGTCCGAGAGTTCTTGATTTAGAAATGGACGCCAAAGAATATATGGGGCAGCATTTATAAGCTATGCCTTAGGCTCAAAGTAATGCGTGTCTCTGTAGTTAGCAGTTACAGAAACATGCATGAAGTCAGTCGGACGATTTCTGTCCGCTGCATGACGGTGTATGAAAGTAGCGGGGGTGCAACAGGCTGACGAGTGACTTTTGGCAAGGTTTGAGGATAAATCCGAGCCGTCTACGCTGAGAGAGCCACTTGGATTTTGCCACGTCACCTCTTCCCCCGCCATGAACGTTGTGCCTGTTGCTCAGTAACTGAACCCGCCTTATTCCATTATAAACGCGGCCAACGACGTCAAGCATATCGGGTGGCAGAATATTGCTGCCGTTGTAGCGTCTACGTAACGAATTGTGGTTTGGTGCTTTTTTCAATGAGAAATATGGCGTTAGCGTTTTAGCCTTTTACTTTAAATATAATTATAAATAAATGATTAGAACCGAATTTGGAAAGATGGTTATGAAAAAAATAAGGAATCACACTCCGTACACAATTCAGCGTAACCTCATAATTGACCAGGGTGTTTCGTTTTATACTGAAGCTTCCATTCCAGCTAGCGGAAAAGCTCCACAGTCATCACTCATCGCCCATAACTCTTGTCATGCTTGGACATGACCCCACTTGGAACTTGCAGCCAAATCCTAGCACCCGGTTTCCCTCCTCATCTTCTTGTTGCGCTTATCCACCTATCCTCTCTTTCTTTTAATAGCCATCAGACCGTGTCTCCGCTATTTTTCCACTCTTGCTCTCTTCACCATCTCATCCATGGTGGGTATTCACTTGGACAATCAAGCTCCAATGGAAGTGGCAAAGCAGGAATCAGTTTGCCAGGTGGTTGACTCAATCAACAAGACCATTCCCTAAGACTCTTTTCCTAGACGATGTCTGTCTCTTTGCCCCTCACAGCATCCTTTGCTGCTATTCCTCTGAATCGGTTCTTTCAGGCGGTGGTAGGAAATGGCATGAGACGCTAGGTTGAATTTTGGGTATTTGTCAAACTACACTATGCAGTTCGCACCTTAGGCACACACAGCGTTCTGAGCCACGTGTCAATTGTATGTGTGGGACACTATTATATTTTATATTTCTTTTTGTTTGTGTTTTTTAATTATTTTAAATCTCGTATTCTTTTCGCACTTGCTCTGAGAAAACTTCCCACCACGCCATTTTGCTTCCGGGGGGCAAATTCAACTTTACTCAGTGCTTTGCGTGAACCGCCGATATGCCGCCGTCTGGTGATGGGTTCTCCGAAGCTGACGGCTGCTGCTCATGCTGTTCCAGTGAGAGTAATTGTTTACGCTATAACGACAGTGGCTCCAGCGATGTGTGTTCGCGTTCTAGAAGATCCGATCTTTCTCCGTCGTCATTGAGCTCTTCGTCCTTGTTAAGTTTCGATTCGATTCCCTTGAAGGATTGGGATAAGCTGCGGAGAATTATTCTTGCTTCGGCCAAGGGCTTCACGATAGGAGCTGGTCTTAAGGGTGGTCTTGCTCTGTTCTCCATCTTAGGTCGATTGCGACGAAGAGGGACACTAAACTCCCCGAGGTAAAATGTCATCGCATTCGAGATATACACCTGAATAATAGTTTCTATTATTCGGTTACCTACTATGTTCGCCTTTCTCTCACTTGATGTCCGAAACAACGGGTGTTATGTTTCTCCATTTTTGGTACAGGAAGGAGGCGGCGGTAGCAAACAGAGAAGCAATCGTTCTGGCTTTACAGGAAACACTGAGATACGGCTTTTTTCTTGGAAGCTTTGCAGGAACATTTGCGTCTGTGGATGAGATTATAGTTGCTCTGGGAGGTCACCGTAGGCATGTTCTGTTCATTCTGTGTGATCAATCTTTGTCCAATTATCGATATTTAAACTTAAAAGTTTTGTTTTGAAATTGTGTATTTCTTATTCGTACTTTTCCCATCACTCTAGTTCAGGACAGCAAGATGGAGGGCTCTATTGGCAGGGGCGATTGCTGGCCCATCCATGCTTCTGACTGGCTTAGAGTCGCAACATACAAGCTTGGCTATTTACATACTTATGCGTGCTGCTGTCTTGGCATCACGATGTGGGATTAAGAGCGAACGGTTTGGGGGAGTATGTAAACCTCTCACATGGAAGCACGGTGACATATTTCTTATGTGTCTCTCCTCTTCACAGATATTGTACGTTGTCGTCCTAAACATGGTTATGCGTACTTAATGAATCAACCTTTTCCATTGTGTCCTCCTTTAATAAATGTTCCTGTCTTTTTGAATTTGTGGCAATGCCCTGTAGTTTTTAGGTAGTGTATATATTTCACTTCCCTCCTCCCTCTTTTTTTTTTTTCTATTTATATTGATTAATGTATGTTCGGTTAAGGGCAGTGGTTAACATGTTGTTTTAGGTCTTCTTACATATTAAAGCAAGAGAGTTTGCCTGCTTCATATAAGTCCTTTCTCAATAAGCATGGTGGAAAAGGTCCTGTTATCCTACAAGGTGTGAAAGAGTTAGCAAGTGGCCTGCCTTTTACTAATTTGGAAGCAATAGAGAAACACTACAGGGCAATGGGTGTTGAGATGCAACTTGATCCAGATATGAAAATCCCCTGCTCGGTATGAAAAAGTTTTATGATTTTTGTCCTCCTTCTTTCATTATGTTTCAGTGTGGTAATATTTCCTATTGAAATATATAAAGTAAAAGAAATACAGCTGTCGTTCTATTACAGTTATAAATCTTGGAAGTTGGATATGCATTTTTTTTTAAGACTTTTGATATGTAGATGTCAATCAGTGCAACAATGTCAACGTTTCTCCTTGTCCTGCAAATCTAGTTAATCCTTGATGTCATAACTTTGGCATCAACTCTTATTCTTGATTCGATCCATTTGAAATTTCACTCTTGTGATAATTGCTGATTCATTTGTTTAATCTGAGAATTCATGTATGATGCATTTAGTAATGGTGTCTATAAGTTCGTATACTCGTGGACTCTATTTGGTAAAGTTGTATACATTTTTGTCTTTTGTTTTATTTTCTCTTTTATTTCCTTTTTATGTTCAAAATTAATGGTCTACAATTTGTCGTGCAGTTTTTCTTTTGATACTTTTTAGTACGGCTTTGAGACTCGGGAATGATTTTTGTTGAACAACAATCATATGCTCAACAATTTCTGTTTAAATCAATTAAGTTGGATTTATACATCATGTAACTGCTTACATCATGGTGAAAAACAGGTGATTTATATCAACTTGATAAGTTGTCATTTTCAAACATCTTGCAGATTGTTCATGGGAATCAGTCGTGTGGTGAGCATGTTCTTTCTTTTCTCCTTCAAGCCTACAAAAGAGCATTACCAGTTTATCTGCCAGTTTATCTGATCCCTGCACTATTAGTTCACAGACAAGGACTTTTAAAAAGGTGATATAATTAGTATACATACTTAGTAAGCAATCTAATATTGACGTTTTCTTTTGTGAAGATTTCATGAAACATATTTTCCTTTCTATCTGATAGTACCTTCTGTGAGGGGCAAGTACAATGTTGATGGCACATTGGCTCTGATTATAATGAAGAGGCTCCGATGGAAAACAGATTTTCCCATTTGATATTTGTCCAAGCACTCTCAAAATTACTATTTTCTTATTTTTCCACTCAAAATTTTTCATTCATCTCATGCATTAGCGTGGACTAAAAAGCATGTTCAGGCCTTCCCGTACTTTGTTTGCATTGAAAATAACAAAAGGAGTGGATTAATGATTTATTCCCCGAACAATTACTTTCATCTCAAATTTGCCCTTGAAAAATATAATATCTTCATTATTTTTCCCAATTGAATACTCCTCCTTTCTTTTCCCCAAAGAAAGATCCCTTGGCTTATGCTTCAAGCTGAGCTTAATAATGACATATACGCAATATTTGAGACTATATTCTTTTTGGTTAATTATTGCTTATTGTCAACATATTTATATGCAGCCCTAACACAATATTAGCCAAAGTTCTGTTTGGCACTGCAAGATCAAGTTTGTTCCTGTCTATGTATTGCTCTACTGCCTGGTTAGCATCTAATTATCTATCACCCTCTCTCCTGTTGTGTTATCTCAGATGTATCATACAGTTCTAAAACAGTATGTTTCTGATATGTCAAATGTGAATCAATATGCTAGAACATTTTAACTTCTGCAAGTTCGCATGAAATGTTTAATTAATGGAAGAAATAATCGATGTTGTATTGTACTCTTTCACATCTTTGGTATACACAAGGGTGAAGCAGACTCATACGTAGTTAGAATTTCTTGTACCTCTCACTTTAGATTTGATCCACAAGATGTCGTATTGATTGCTAGACCTCGGTTTCATGTGTAAGACTGTAAGATGCAACGAAAGTAGTACATTAAGGAAATTACATCGGATGATTTCATGTACTTGCTTTTTGATAGCTCTGTCCCCCCAACCCCCCGCCCCGGGGGGGGGGGGGAACTTATTCTCCTTCCTCATTGTTGCTTCTCTCTGGCATGGATTTTGTTGAAATTCTCACATGCATGAGACCGATGCTGCCACTGTATGTCAGGATGTGGACGTGCTTGCTCTTCAGGATATTCAAAAGGTGCAACATTCCAATGGTGGTCATCGGAACGGTATTCAAGTTGAAATCCCTTTTTCTTTCAAAACTCGAAAGAATTCGGAACTATAGGAATTGCAGTTTTTCCCAAATATAAAGAGGTTGCGGTTGCGTTCTTGTGCAGTTCCCAGCTGGGCTTGCATTAGCCATTGAGAAGAAAAGCAGGCGAATAGAGATAGCGTTGTACTGCCTAGCACGGGCCATCGAGAGCTTCTTCTCATGCATGGCTGATGCAGGATACGTGCCGCATTCGAGAAAGATTAAGAGAGCTGACGTAGTGGTGTTCAGCTTGTCAACAGCCATCATAATGCACTGCTACGCACAGGAGAGGGAAGTGTTTAGGTCCAAATATTTAAACGTCCTTGATTGGGTGTTTGGTGTGCCTCCTCCTCCAGGGGAAAGCCCCCGCTGCTCAGACAACGGAAAAGCCAGCGGCAGCCCATTGGGGTATCCTGAATTCGAAAGCACCCTGGAAAGCCAACACTAACACAATTGACGTTACCTTCTCCATTTTTCCCCTTTGGATTCTTTCTTTTTGGGGGCTCGGCGCTGATCGCGATTCATGAATGAATAATAAAAGGATGCTTTTATGTAGCGTTGTGATGTCGCTTAAGGATTTAGTGCTGTGACACAGAGCCTTCGAGAAATTTGTATGATTGATTTCGTGGAGGACCGTGTCAACCAACCTCAACTATTACTCATTACTCCCTTCCCGGGGCTCCTGATGGGGAGCGCATCTGTAATTTAACGTATTTTTCTTGTGATTACATCGGAAATTCAACATTTCTTGTCGCTTCCATTCTATTTGATTTGCGTTGCCTTTGCAAGTATACTAGAATAAACCGGAGTTAATATTATTATTAGTTTTTGTAATTTGATTAAATTTTAGTTTTAATTCTGTAGCTTTGAATTGTTGGCTCTGATCAATATATAGTTTTATAAAATTTTAGTTTGAGTTTAACAAATAGTTTTTATATTTTTAATGAATTTTGATTTCGATCTTTATATTTAAATTCCGATCAAGTCAAAACTAATGATTTAAAATTAGAGGTTAAAATTAAAATTTGATCAAACTGGAAGAATCGGTAATAATATTAACTTAATAAATTATGTGCTTATTGGATGTAGAAATCCAACATGACAATCATATGAACGAAAATAAATTATTTTTTATCCTTTAATTTAATTCAATTAAGCAAAAATAACGGAAGGGCGAGATTTGGGGGAAAAAATGATCCAAACAGGTTAATTACCCATTGCCAGAACATGCAGCTTACACATTTACTATCACTTACCAATAAACATTCAACTTTACTTGGCCCATAAAGAAAGAAAGAAAGAATCATTCCAGTACAGGGCAAACAGACAATGTAATGTTCCGGTCATCAAGATTAAAGATACATATGCCTCGCAACGGGACGCAAGCATCGTATGCACTCTGGCATTGACTTTGGCTGGAGGGATAAATTGGAAGGAAACGCTATTTACTCATTTACTAACCATTACTAATGATAAGATTTAAAGGGAAGAAAAAGGAATGTAACCATGATTTTTCCGCTATATTTTCTACTCTGTAAGAAAATAAATAGAGCATTCTTCCGCAGCTGCAGACAGAATTAATATAATTTCTTTCGAATTGAACTGATCAACACAATGTAAGAAAAAGGGGCAACAAAACTGACTACTCGGATACATACTCCCACCATTTGTGCAAAGCATATCCGTAAATTGCACCGTAACCAATCAGCCGCAGGGGAGAACTGGTAAACCTGCACATATAGAAGGAGCTTGATGGAGCATCCTTTGGAAAGGAATAAAAGCGAGACGCAGAGAGGAGAGAGCGAAATAAAAAGAGAAGGTACCTGACGAAAGCAGATCCGTGAGAAAGAAGAGAAGCCCTCTCGTCGGCAGTAATAGGGTAGGGCCAGCGGGAGAAATCGCGATCGAAGTAATCCCAGTCAGGCAAGAGAAGGGCGGCAATGCCCACGGCTCCAACAACATAAGTAACGATCATCTTCTTTGGAGAGTGAGTGAATATGCCAACCAGCAGTATATAACCGCCGCCAGCCAAAGAAGAGAGGTTCTGAGGGCGGCGTCGTTTGCCATGATGAGAAGATGGATTAGGAGGAGGAGGGGTGGAGAAAGCCTAGGGTGAGGTGAGAGGTGAAGAAGAGGACAGCCATGGGGAGAGTACTGTGAATTGGTTACGAGCATGAGCTATAAATGCAGTTTCAACGGTCCGTCTAATTTCTTTGTTATTGTGATTAATGCCGTTTGCTGCCGCCATCCACACTCTTCTGCATTGTTAGTTATTTATTACACTAACTCACCAATCCCCCACGCCTGAGCTGGTGCTTAACTGCCTCCTGCTTCTGTGGGTCCACCTCTGGTCGGGTCGGACCCTTGACAAAGTCTTGCGACTCAAGGCCTAGTCGTTTCATCCAGATCAACCTGCAGGCTCCAGCTCCGCTCCCCCTCCGCTCCCTCGTCGGCCTTTCTTTGCTGAGTTCAACCGTTTAAATGTTACTACTGGGCTGGGTCTGAGCTTAACAGGAGTTAAACAAAAATTAGATTTCATATTAAACTTAAGGGTATGTTTGGCTCAATGAGAGGGAGGGGAGGGGAGGGATTTTAATGGAAGGAAGGGGAAGGGAGGAGAGTGGAAGGATTTTAATTTATCTTGTTTGGATTTATAAAAAAGAGGGGAGGGTAGGGGAAAATATTTTTAATATGGACAATTTTGTTCTTATTTTATTTAAGATATGGGCATAATGGTCACAACATGATAAAATATGGACATAATGATACAACATGGCAAAATATGGACATAATGGTCACAACATGACAAAGTATTACCCTTTCCCTCCAAATCCTCCCAATTTTGAGGGGAGGTTGAGGAGGGAGGGGAGGGAAAATTTTAAAAAATTTTCCCTCCCCTCTTAAAATTTGTGTGTTGCCAAACAAGGAAAAATGATTAAAATCCCTCCCCTTCCCTCCCCTCCCTCCAAATCCCTCATACCAACACACCCTAAGATTCTAATTTATTTTACCTCTCAAATTTATGATTCATTCTTTAAAGTATCCCATTGATTACGCATATCAAAGGAGTTTCTATCTAATGGTACTTTATGAAACTTGGTTTATATTCATATAAATAACTAAATTAACTAATTTTTTAATGTATTTAAATTAGTTAAATAGTTTTTATATTAAGAATAAGAAGTAGTATGTTTTAAACTCATAGGTAAACCCTCACCACCTGCACGTGCATTGTGTATAGTAGCTGTTGGCCAAAAGATCATCTTGAAATATCACTCGCGTTTTGCTACCCCTCTGTGGTCAATATTTGCTGATGATTTCTGGGCCTGTGGGTTCTGGGCCACCTCAAGGTGGGAGAGTTGAAGTTGGACCATATTTCAAATATGTGGAGTGGAAGGAGAACATTGCCTTGTATATGAACAGGTTCAGGCTATTTTACAGGGATTGCGTGGTCGTTCATGGATATCACCCCATCAATCATAATAGGCCCGTTTGGGTTTTAATAAGAAACCGTATACATGAATATATCAAGATAAAGGTCCAACTAGTTATCTTTACAGGCCCTATTTTGAAAAGCGCGTCATCATCTCGCAAAGATCTGCGTCTGCTTTTGAAATTTGATCGAGTCCTCCCATTCTTTTTTTCCTAACTGGAAAAATGCAGAGAATTGTATAAGGCAACATTTTATGCAATTTTGGGATTATCCAATAAATATAAGAGAGTTGGGTAGAAGTCAATATTGGTAAGACCTATTAGGGTAAAAGAGGATGGAAAAGTAGAGTGGACAGAGTTGGTGTGGTTGGTCAAGATTAGGTTATCAACGAAAGCGTTGAACAAGTAATGAATCGTATGTAAATGAAGGAACTCCTGCAGCAGCAAACGCAAGCTCATCTCGCATTTCATCAACGCTGTGTTTGGCTCGATGGAAGGAAGGGGAGGGGAGGGATTTTAATCAAGGGAAGGGGAGGGGAGGGAAGGGGGGTAGCTACAAAGGGGAGGGGAGGGAGGAGGAAGGGGGGAGGGGGAGGAAGGTAAGGATCTCCTGTTTGGATTGAGGGGATGGGGAGGGGAGGGAGCAATTTTAATAATACCTATATTTTTCTAATAAAAAATTGACTATTTTAACATTATAAAATTTAAATGAATTTTCTCACTTTTTTATTTTGTTAAGATATAACTATATATATAATACAATTCACCAATTTTGATTTACAAGACATAGTCACACACTTATAGAATATCAAGATAAAAAGTCACGAGTGATAGATTTCAATCAGAAAAAGACCTTGAAGGTGAAAGAAAATACCAACAACCTCTTGGAATTAGAAGAAGAGAAAAAAAAGTTTACAAATGCTCACTAATTTTGGAGACAATTATCTTAATACCTCTTGTTAAATGCTAAAAAAAACTCTCTTATGTAGAAATGTTTACGACTAATTAGAGGTTAACAAATCAAAAGGGTATATAAGGAATTAAAATATTATCTCTCATCTCCCCTTCAAAAAACCCCAATTTTGGAGGGGAGGCTAGAAGGGAAGGGGAGGGGAGAAGAATCCCTCCCCTCTTTAAAAAACATCTTAACCAAACGAGGGAAGGGGAGGGGCTCCCCTCCCCTCCTAAAAAATTACACCAGCCAAACAAGGGGAGGGGAGCAACTCCCCTCCCCTCCCCTCCCCTCCAAAAATCCCGTACCAAACATAGCGTAAGGGTCTGTTTGGTATGAGAGAAAATGAGAAGAGAGGGGGGAATTTAATAAACTCGATTTAAAAAATTAAAAAAGTTTTTAATTAATTTTTATTATTCTTTCGTATTACTTCCTCTTTTTATTAAAATTTTAAAACCATCTCCTCTCCTCCCCTCCCCTTTGTTCTATTTCCATTATACCAAACAGTACCTAATAATCACAAGTTTAGAAGGCTGCCTCCGGAAAACTACGATATCGATCGTTGTTTTATTACAGCCACGCATGCACACACATATGTGAACACACACACATATATAACATATATATATATATATATATAATATCAGCTGTGCAGTGTATATATAAGTTCATCACGTTTGTCTGTCTCCCAACAATATGCAACACCTGCTCCCCTCCTTTATCTCTGCAACCTCTATTTTTTAACAGATGATATTTATCTTGCAGGATACGTCTCCTTTAATTAATTTTTTTCTCAAGAAAAATCTAGTTTGAACGCCGCCTAGAATTCTTCTGGTATATCAGGCAAATCAATAATTTATCCATACTTGGATAAAATGTTTTTCTTGTGATGGGATTCGTATATAATGGAAACAAAGATCTCCCCGGCTCATATCTAATGATTTATAATTCCAGATGTTTGTGATAATTGAATCATGAAAAATCTTTAAAGCTCTCTCTGCCATAATTCCAATTTCAATTCCCTTAACTGGAATTGATTCGGAAATTTACAAATTACGTTTCAGTCATGCAGTGAATTATAATGTGAAAGTAAGTATTAGAGAATAATTCGTATGAGTATAGTTGCTGTGACATAATAATAATAATAATAATAATAATAATAATAATAATAATAATAATAATAATAATAATAATAATGTCAGTAGTAGTAATAATTAATAATGGCCATAAGCATCAAACTAAATTATTTTGCCTTTAATTATTCCACCAAAAAAAGACAATACCGTTAATTATGGTTATAAGCTTCAAATAAGAAGAATTTTTTTTGCCTTTCTTCTATATATATTGTATGCTTTTCGTTTTTGTCCCGTATTTTTGTATTTTTCGTGATTTTTTTTTAATGTTTAA